CATAATAAGACAGGAATTCAACTCTTCAGGAGACCATAATTAAGTCAGCGATGACTTGGGATATCAATACCAATGGTGATCATCACCATAGGTAACACAGCCACATATATATACGGTTTTAGTTCTGCGCACAATTTCTTGGAAGGGTAGATAATAATACTAATCCAGTAAAAGGAAAAGGCTTACTTTCATTGTCAGGCTGCCATGAACTGCTGCTGAAGATCTTCTATTGCAGCTACCTCTTTCTCCCCAGCTGTATGTCACAAACAACTAGGTAAATCACACGAATCTCCACAGCTGTATGTGCGGTGAATCGAGTGTTGAGAGGTCGCAGCGCCGATGCCGGCACCGGCGGCGAGTCACCCGGCCGGGAACTAGTCACCCACGAGGTCGCCGGCCGGCGGCCAGGGGTTGCAGCGCGCGTGAGATTTTTTTTTTTTTTACTTTTCTGCTCGTTTTTTTTTCGCTCCATCCGAGGAAGGGATAAGGTATATATATATTACTGTACCGCACCCTAATAACTAAAACACACCCATCACACCCTACACCCCCACCCCTATACCTGGCCAAATGGGCCGTGCCAAGCCGGGCCGGCCCAAGCACGGCCGCACTGTAGAAGGCCCAGGCCCGGCACAGCACGCCGGCCTGTGGGCCGTGCCGGCACGGCCCGTTTACCCGTGCCGTGTCTGGGCCGACGCCATAGCCCGTGGGCCAGCACGGCACGGCACGTTTACTGTAGAGGGCTGGTACGGCACGGCACGGCCCGCGAGCACGGCACGGCACGGGAGCGGCCTAGGGTAGGCACACCGCGCACGTGGCGCCAAGCGGCCGAGCCACCGAGGGCAGCCGCGGGGCCAGGCGGCGGGAAGCGCGCGTCGCTGCGTTCGCGCGTGGCGCATGGCAGGCGGCGTCGCGACGTGTTGCTGGGGCTGGTAGGCTGGGTCGCTCTCGCTCTGACTGCCTCCGTCACTCCGTGCCTCGTTGCCTCGTTGGGAGCAGCCGAGACGGCGACAGGCGACTCAGCGAGACCCCGTACGGCGGCCGAACAGCTAGTCAAACGACGAATGCGAGAGTGCCACGTGTCCCCAACGGCTAGTGAGCTAATCCAACGACCGCTGTTTTTGAGAAGTAGCCGTTGGAGAGCAAAAAAATGGAAAAAAAATTCGAAAAAAATATGAAATTTATTTCTATAAATAGGACACCCACCGGAGCATTCTGAATCATCCATACCTCCCATTTTGTGCTCTGTTGTGCTCTTTCGTGTGATAGATCGATTTTTTGATTTAGACAAAATTTTGTCTAAAATCAAAAATAGTTTGTGACTAAAAATAGTGCATACAAGAGGTGTAAAGCCAAGCAAAGGTGGTAAGAAAGAAGTACGTCATATATTCAGTTTTATGTATTATTTTATTTTATGTTATGCGAATAAATATTCTGAAATTTGTTTATGTTGTTTTAAATTTTCAGAATGGACGAATCGAACATTCCATCGTTCACGTTAGGTGATTTCGACCCTAACTACGTGTCGAGGTCATTCCCAACTGGTGAGTATGATGCCACCGGATCGGCTCCAACACCACCAGTTATGGAGCCACCGGCGGGTTCAGAAGCATCCGGCACTATGAGTGGGAGTGCATCGACGAACACCGGCTCAAAGAGATCAAGAACTTCCGGTGTTTGGCAACATTTCGATGAGGTGGCCATGACAGGCCCTGATGGAAGGCAGGTAACATTCGCGAGATGTAGAATATGCAAAAATAAGTTATCTGCAAAATCATCTGGTGGAACAGGACATTTGAAGCGGCATGCCGAGGCTTGTGCAAAGAAGCAAGGAATCCAACTACGACAGCAACAACTACTACTAAATCCTGATGGTACGGTACGTACGTGGGAGTATGATCCTATGGTAGCTCGAGAAAATCTTGCCCGTTTAATTGCTAGACAAGATTTACCCTTGAACTTTGGTGAGAGTCCTGCATTTGAAAATTACATAAAAAATTCTCATAATCCTAGGTTTCAAGCTGTTAGTAGACAAACCACAACCCGTGATTTGAAAAATGTCTATGACAAAGGTTATGAATCACTGAAGGAATTATTTAGTACATGCACCTTTTCTGTCAGTGTCACCTCAGACATATGGAGTAGTAGGGCTAAAGAGGATTACCTTAGTGTAGTTGTACATTTCATTGATGATGATCGGCAAATGCAAAAAAGAGTTCTTGGCTTAAGGTTAATTGATGTTTCACATACCGGTGAAAATATAGCAGAGAGAATTCGAGAGGTTATTGATGAGTTTAACCTTGCAGATAAAATTTTTGCTGTAACAATGGATAATGCATCTGCAAATTCTAGGGCCATGGAAATTCTACAACCATTATTTTGTATTTATGCTCAATCATTTCTTCTGCATCAGCGTTGTGCATGCCATATCATTAATCTAATTGTTAAATGTGGGTTTAAGAGAGTTAATGTACACATCGACGCTGTTCGTCAAGCAATCACGTGGTTAACTGCTTCAAACCCACGGATTGCACAGTGGAAAAGGTATTGTTGTGCATCGGGTGAGCCCCCACGTAAGTTTTTAACCGATGCAGACCATCAGTGGAATGCCACTTATTTTATTTTAAAGGTTGTATTACCTTACAAGGATTTACTTACTGTTTTCCTTCAAACACGTAATGGCCCAAAAAACAGTGACGGCCAGCCAATACTGACTGATCATACCTGGCACATTGTTGAAAGGTTCAATCAATTTCTTGAAACGTTTCATGACTGTACTCTTCTGTTATCTCAAGTATATTATCCAACAGCTAATTTAATTTTGCATAATATTCTTGAAATTGCCACTTTGTTGAAAGAGTATGAAAATGATGACCTTTTAATGCCCGTTGTCTTTAATATGAAACAAAAATATCTTAAATATTGGAAAGACATCCCCATGTTGTATTCTTTTGCATTTATTCTTGATCCTAGGGGAAAATTACGGGGATTCCTCAATATTCTTTCACTTATTGGAGATATTATTAATGTTGATTATTCTACCTATTATGCTGATGTCAAAACTAAATTCTATGAGGTATTTTGAAAGTATGAATTAAAGTTTCAGGGAGATCGCTTGCAAAGACCCCCACCTGTCCCTGCAGCAGGTAAGAAAAAATTACAGTGGAGCAGAATTTGGGGCGGTTCATCTTCTAGCCATGGTGGTGGTACCAGTTCATCAGCAGCAAGTGGGGACGCTAGATCGCATGGTCCTGCCGAAGAGTTGTCCAACTATTTGGATAGCGATGCCATCAGGCATGAAACGTCAGACTTCAACGTACTCGGGTGGTGGAATGATCATAAGATGTCATATCCTGTGCTATCAAAACTAGCACAGGATGTGTTGACGGTGCCCGTATCTTCGGTATCCTCCGAATCAGCCTTCAGTCTATGCGGAAGAATTATCGAGGATAGGAGAACAAGTCTGAGCAGCGATCATGTGGAAATACTATTAAGCGTCAAAGACTGGGAACTTGCTGCAGAACATACCCAATACACTGCTGACAACCAAGAATTGGCCGCACAGTTCGAAAACCTTTATTTAGATGACGAACAATTAGGGTAGCTAGTTTATATTTTTTAAGTATTGACCTGTTGGCTGTACTCTTTTCTTTGTCATGGTTTTCTCAAATATGAGTTTTTACATGACAAAGTTTTTAACGAGGCAGCATGTATCATGTAAACATCAATAAAGGTCATTACTCTTTTTTTTTCCCATATTTTTCTAATATTTTTCTAAGTCTAATTATTTTTCTATTTTTCTCCAACTATCCATTAATTTTCTCTTAGCTTAGTTAACTTTCGGACCTTTCTCTTTGATTTGAATTGTTCCACTGACAGAGTGACAGGCGATAGACACACGGACAGAGGCAAGTCACTGAGTCAGCATTCAGCAAGTCCAGCGCCACGTGTCGCCCTTCGGCCGGCCGGTCCCGCGGCCCCGGCCGCTCGCTCCCGCGTGCCACGTCCAAATTTTCATCCGCGCGCGCCTTGTCACCTTGCCAGCTTGCCTGCAGTCGATCGTGCCAACGGGCCGACCACGACCCATGGGCCATTGACGTGCCCGTGCCGGCACGGCACGGCACGATGTTCCCTCGGGCCGTGCTTGGGCCGGGGAGTAGGCACGTGGGCCGGCACGGCACGGCCCGCTACAGGAGTTGTGCCTAACGGGCCGTGCCCTAGCGGGCCGTGCCGCCAGCGTGCCCGTGCCGTGCTAGGCCGGGCCGCCCGTTTGGCCAGGTATACCCACCCCCCTCCCCCCTTCCCGCTCCTCTCACCCAAATCCAATGGCATAGTAGAGGTGGCCAAACGGGCCAGGCCAAAACGGGCGGCCCGAGGCACGGCGGAACCTGTAGCCGGCACGGCCCGGCACGGCCTGCTACAGTAACGGGCCGTGCCGGCACGGCACGAGTAGCCGTGCCGTGCTTGGGCCGCCGGCCGAGCCCGCGGGCCGGCACGGCACGGCACGGCTACTGTAGTAAGTCCGCATCTCATCCTTCCGCAAGTCCGTATCTCATCCCTCCCAACTGACGGCCCAGCCCGCTAGCCGCCTCCGCAAGTCCGTTGAGCACCCCTCCTAGCTGATGGCCCAGCCCGCCAGCCACCTCCGCAAGTCCGCATTGCATCCCTCCGCGCCATTTCGGTTCCTGGGCCAACCGTGCCCCGTCCACGGCCCATTTTTCATTCACGGGCCCGTACTGACACGGCGGGCCACACGCATGCCGTGCCGGCACGGGCACGGCCCGGCCATCCACGGGCCGTGCTTGGGCCGGCGGCTCGGCACGTGGGTCGGGACGGCACGGCCCGTTTCATGAGCCGTGCCTAACGGGCCGTGCCGAAACGGGCCGTGCCGGACCCGTGCCCGTGCCGTGCCGGGCCGGGCCGCCCGTTTGGCCACCTCTGTGGCATAGTAATTTTGTTACTATCGTCTGTCCATACTATTTATACTACTCGGTGGCCCCACTATAGAAACCGCACCCCACTTCTTCCCCAACTCTCCATTATTTTCGGATCGAGGCCCAACCGCAGCCGGCCAAGCCGCTCCGCGTCGTTTCCATCGCCGCCGCCGCGGTCGTCATGGCCCCGGCCGACACTCTGAGGCGGGGGCGCGTCTCGGTCTCCGTCCGTGCGTCCGCCATGGCGGTGGCGTTGGCACCGAGAAGGAAGACGGATCCGGTGGGCGACGAGAAGGCCGTGGTGGGAGCTGTGGGAAGCTGCTGGCGTGCCTCCCTGATGCCGGTGGCTGTGGGAGCCGGCGGCGCTCCCATCGGTCACTGGAGGAGGCTCGGAGAAGGGCTCCCTTCCCAACTCCGGCCATGAATCGGCGACGGCACCGGTGGGATCTTGTGAGGAGGGGGCTGTGGTTGGCGACGGCATAAGGGAGCGGCGGGCGGACGACGGCGGCCTACAAGGGCTCGTCAGGCCATCCCCCGCCCGGATCCGGCGGTGGGCGTCGTCTCCCGCCCGGATCCGGTGACGGCAGCGGTGGGCGGCTCGGGAGCAAAATCCTAGCTCCCGCCGTCGCCACCCTCCTTCCCCCCTCTCCTCCACCTCCCCGTCGTCGAAGCGCGTCGCTGGGAGAGCCAGGCGGCGAGCCGGGATGGCGGTGGCGGGGCCATCTTCTCTGCCTCCCCGCGCCGGTGGATGAGGAACAGGAGGGGATGAGGATCCAGCGACGACTCGGCGACGAGGAGATTTGGGCGGTGGATCCGGTGATGTCGAGGTGCGTGGGCGCCGGATCTGGCAGCGTCGGCGTCGTCCTTCGCTCTGCCTCTGCTTCGTCGACTACTCGGCCGGCAGTGGCGACGTCGTGGAGGATGTCGTCTCCAGCTAGAGGGCGTCCACCCGTGAACCTGCGACGGGATGGGTGGGGATGGATCAGCGCCTCGACTGCTCCTTGGCCGACGACAGCCGCTGCCCTGACGACGTCCTTAGCCCTCGTCGGCGGCCGCCGTTCCGCCTCCATCACCCACTTCTGTCACCTTCGTCCGCGCGCGGCTGCCAGACGGCGAGGTGAGGAGCCCTGGCCCTCCTTCCCAACCTCTGCGCCGCCCCATTGAGCTCCATCGCCGCCAACCAACCTCTCATCCCCATCTCGTGAACTTTGCAGAGATGAATTAATTACTCCATAGAGGCAGCAGTAGACATACCGATCTGATATTCTCTATATGCTGTTCGTTTATTCTTCTTCTTTATTTGTTTTTTTCACGATTTTTTGTAGGGATCAAGCATCATGCATGGTAGGCCTAGGGTGATTTGTTCGCTATGCATTCAGTACATCCTTTTCCTCCTCATATCTAAATTTTAGTTTGTTCAGTCATGAAATCTGTTTCTGACAAAACGCTTGTGATTGATTTTTTTTCCCATTTCAGTTGTGACCTATGTTCCTGGACTGCTCATGTGTCTATATAGAAGATTGCACTCAGCCCCTGGATCGCAGTAGAATCTTCCTTGACTAAGCTTAATTGTCTATTCTTTGGGTAAGAATTTCTTAACTGAATAACATGTATATGTGAAATAATCATATGATTGTTGAGAAGAATCCAGTTCATTTGCATATTTTCAGTAGTGAATTCATCTCTGCAAAGTTCACGAAATTGGAATCTACAACCAGGATATATTTTGTATACAATTATGAGATTGAGGACCTAATAGCCGCCAGTGGTGGTGGCCATATACAATTTCTTTTTATGTTATTGCTGCTTTTGTAGGGATCAAGCATAGTGCGTGAATAGTCCTGCTGCCAGAATGTTGTTTTTCGATGCATTAATCACATAATTTTCATGCTCATCTGAATTTTCAGGTGTCCAGTCATTAATTTCTGTGTGCCCTATGTTGGGAAAACTGCTCCCATCTAGATTTTAATTTGTTCAGTTGTATATTTGTGTATCCAATGCTGTCTAATACTATTCATGGATGGAAACTCAACGAGATCGATTTGATAGCAGTTCTCTGTAATTGGTTCAACAGAGCAGATCGTTTGATTTGTTCTGAACTGCGCTCCATCATTGCTTTTCCACATTGCCATAAATCAGTACATACAATTGCCAACACTATCATCTAGGTTCGCAGTGATGATTTAGTTCCTTTCTATCCCCCAGTGTGTGAATCTTGATTGATCTTGGTTCTGATTTCACTGAATTGCGCAATGTTTGATTGCAGGTTGGGACAAGGCGCACCTAAGAACCTGACCTCCGCACAAAACTTGTAAGGTTGCAGGCGCATGCATCATCCTCGGCTATAATTCGTCTTCCGCCGATGCAACTAGAGCAGCGATGACTAGTGTTTTAATTGTACAATCAATATGTATCTGTGCCTGAGTCTCTGTAACATGTGTGGGTTTTTTACTCGACAAAAATGTTTGTTTTGGCTATATGGATTTGTTGGTAAATAGGATACTCTATGGTCAGGTAGTATTTTATCTTTAATGAGAAGGTTCGAGCAATTTGTGGCCAAAGCAATATTTTAATTCTAACTTGAGATTAATTACTGATAGAAGTCGGGCTATAAATTATGTCTACGCGTAGAGTAATTTATCTACTAACATAAGACCACCAGAACTGGAACGAAATTCTTGCTAGATCAATATGTTCTCTCAGGAGTAATTTCTTTACTCAAAAGAGAAAACCAAGGAGTGGAATGGATCAATATCTACTGTCGATAGTAATTTCTTTACTTAGAAGCCAATACAAGGGTAACAAACCGGGAGTAATTTATTTACGGAGGAAAATTTCTTTACAAACCGGGAGTAATTTATTTTCTAGAAAGGAGTAATTTATTTACAGAAGAAAATTTCGTGGCAAGATTAATATGTTGATTATAAGTAATTTATTTACTAAAGAGAAGAGAAGCAGTGGAAAAAAAAAAGTGGTAACGGACATAAGGGGTGGGTGGCGGTTGGTACGGACGGGAGGGAAGTGGGTTGGGGGTGCCGACCCTAGGGGGTGGGGTGGGGGTGGGGAGGGGGGGTGGTGGGGAAGTGGGTTGGGGGTGCCGACCCTTCCTCCGTCGAGGTTCGCCGCCGGAGCACCATTCCCGCCGTGCGACGGTGAGAGCCGCCATGTCCGCCGCCTTCGGCCATGGTTTCCGATCGCCGTGGTTCATCTCCCTCCCCCTAATCTCTCTCTTTTCCTCTCTTAGGGCCTCCCGGAGCTCGTCCGCCCGCCGCCGTTGTCCTCCCGTGGCTCGCCGTCGCCGTTCGCCGTCGTCCTCCTCCGCGCCGGCCACTCTCGGTGAGGCATCCCTCCTCCTCTATTCCCCTCCCTCTCCCTCCTAGCCGCGCCGGGTCGAGCCGCCGCCCCGGTCGTCGCCGCCGCCTTTGCGCCGTCCGCTGTCGCCGCCCTTGCCATGGCCGGGCGGCCGGCTTTGTGCCGAGCCGAGCCGAGCCAGGTCGCCGCCGCACCGTCCGATCGGTCCCGGGCCGATCCGGGCCGTCGATCCCGTGGACCGGCTGTGGACCACCCGCGTGGTCCCGGTCCACAGTAGACCGGCCCCCGTGCGCCACTGACATGCGGGCCCCGCCTGTCGGCGCCGCCCCCTCTTGATGACGTCAGCTCTGGGATTTATTGCGCAATAAATGATTTAAGGACTTTTGTTATAGTAATAAATACAGTGAATCTTCTAAAATTCATAACTAATTCATCCGTGTTCCGTTTAAGCCCATTCAAGTCTCAGTAAATCAAGAAAAATGTGTAGAATCCATTAAAAATGGTTTTGTTCTCTGTTTCAGTAGTCTTATAGCCTGTTTGTATTGTTTGCTTTGTATGTCGCTTAGATTCCGGTTCTTCCGACGCTCCGGTGTACTTCGAAATAGTCGCCGAGGTTCCTCCAGCAGCAGAGCAAGGCAAGTCATGCTTGTCACTTGAACATATTGATCCTATATTGCAAATGCTCTATTGTTTTTCTTCAAATATTGCATTGTTTTATAATGTTACTATGGGATGTTTACCTATTGTCATAGCCATGCTATTGTTGTACCATGTTCCTTTGTTAGCTTGGGTTATAACATGAATAGACTTTGGACTAGGAATTGCTTAGCCATGCTTAGTTCAACTAGCACACAATGGAGGGAGATCCTATTAATGTTTGGACTGTAGGTTCTAATGGTAATGTTGGATTAGTGTCACCGCTTCGGTGTTGGTTAATTAAAATAAATCACATGGTGGGCTATGGGTGGATGGTTTTGTTGGTCGCGCCCATGGCAGTTAAGGACCGGTTCGCGGGATGCCCTGGAAGAACTTATCGTACTTACCACAAGCCAGCGTGGGCAACGCTTGGCTTGTAGTGTAGCTTTCCTCTAGCTGACGCATCCAGGCAAGGGTGGGCGTGATGGAGCGGGGCGGGCCCTGCGACGGCCTCTGTCGCTTCCGGATTCACCTTGGCACGAGAGGGGACTGCCCGCTGCCTTGCGAGGAGTGGGGGTGAAACCTAAGGTGTGGTGTACTTGGTTAAAGGGGGTTATGCGAAGGGTCCTGTCACGGCCTCTTTCCGGTATGTCGTGGTGGCATGTCGGCACACGGAAACGTGTCGTGGGGCTGTGTCTTGTGGGTACAGTTGTACACCTCTGATCAGAGTAAAACTATTCGAATAGCCATGCCCGCGGTTATGGGCGGTCAACCAGATTCACCGTGATTAGTCTCACCCTAGTTTAGTCTAATGAAATTGGATAGTATAGGTGGATGGTTGGGCCTGTCGCAACGTGGTATAGCGTTGGACAGTTGATGAATAATATTGATTAATTATTACAACTGTTTAATTCTTTCAACTTCTGTTTATAAATGCTCGCTTTATGCAAATGAACCACTCTAGCTCTCTTTTGATAATTCCCTGCATCATACCCCTATTCCGGTATGACTTGCTGAGTACAGTGGGTAGTACTCAGTCTTGCTCTATTTTCCTCAACCCCAGAGTACGAGTATGTGTCCGATGGTGGTTTCTCTGAGGAGTAGGCTTCGTCCGTGCCGTCGAGGATGCCTGTGGAGTGGTGTTCCCGCTGCAGATCAAGTCAAGGCTTAGCTCCAGTTATCTTTCGTTTTTTCGCTGCATTTATGTAAGACTTTTATAATGTTTGTAAGACGTGGATCTGAATGTCAACATTGTCGTTTGTGTACCCCGGCCGGTCCTGGACGGGGATTTTAATGCACATTCTGCTTGGAATTCTATTCGGGAATTTCTGGGCGTGACACTTGTGCTCTGACGGGGAAGATGACTATTCACATGGCCAATTGCCAAAGCTAGCAGCGGCAGAGGAGGGATGGTTGAGAGAGACGAGATACGTACGCACTGAGGCACTGACATGTGGTCCACTAGCGGCTGCTGAAAATTTTAGTAATAATATCTGCCCCAAAGTGTAAAGATGAGCTAACACCAGGTCCATAATGCAATAATGGTAAAAAGAACTACTCCAAGATGCAATTTACTCATATATATATATATATACATATACATATATATATACATATACATATACATATATATATATACATATACATATACATATATACATATACATATATACATACATATACATATATACATATATATATATATATACATACATATATATATAATTGTGAAAACCTGATTGAGATGACGGGGGTCTCTCAACCAGTTCTCTCTCTAATAACCCCGGGAACGCCAGAACTTCTCTTGCTGCTGATAACGTTACGTTCAGAGCACATGAGGATGAGAATTCATGGAACAGGTACCACTGATGTTAGTAACCGAAAAGCTTTGCCATGACTAAGCTAATGAATATTGGCATGTCATGGATTGCGGGTAAAGCGTGCATTTACTGCAACAAAGTAAACATGAATCTATTCAAATAGCCGTGCTCACGGGTTTGAGTATCGGGACTCATATGGTACTTTGGTTAGAAAATTAATTCAAGATTTTACTAAATACTGCTGCATTTAAAACATTACATGTTTTCTACTTCTATATTCTCTGCTTTCTGTAAGTAATCATAACTCTACTCAAATATTACCCTTTCATACATTCATTATTGAATATAATAGCTTGCTGAGTACGTTGTACTCACCTTTGCTTCAACCCCTTTTTCCAGAGTTGAATTGAAGTTCTTGCCGAAGCCGGGAGTTCAATTATATAAGTTAGTCTTATTTCAACCTAGTTCTCAAATCTAGATTAATTAAATAGTTTAAGTCTATAGCAAAATATTAGGGTTGAGTCATTTTATAGCTTTTGCTGTAATAGTTAGCCACAATCTTGTAGATTCCCCTATTATTTTAAGTAATAACATCTCCTTTGGAGTCTTGTTCAAATGTACGCAATAAAGATCCAGATTGTTGAAGCTGTATCAATCTACTGATTCATGGCTTGATGCAGTTAAACATGTCGGTTTCCGAATTATTGGTTTTGGGAGCCGACAACACCCCTTAACAGTTAATTAGGTGAGAGGTCTGTCTCCCATGCATAGCGAACGAGCCAACCAACCAAATCCTATCTTGACATGTTATGACTTGGTTATGGCCTGTTCTAGACAGGGCTCAGCTTTAGCAACTCTGTTCTCTCTCACAAGCAAAGCAAAAGGCAAAGCCATGGCAGTCAGCAAAAACATGTTGCATGGCATAGGCAGAGAAAAGCGGAATTTTTTTAAAAAATAATATTATTTTAATGGAAAATTACAAAAGTTGAAGCTGATCGGTTAAAATTGCAAGTTTAATGCCCTGTCGAACATCCATAGTTCGACAGGGGTACATATCGAACAACCACAATTCGATAGGGTACCTGTCGAACTGCGATTGTTCGACAGGGTATAAAAAATACCCTATCGAACTGCCCATGTTCGACAGGGGATAAAAAATGATAGAAAAAAAGAAGATCAATCACTATGAGCACTGTACACCACTGTGCATGCAGCCCTATCGAACTTTGGATGTTCGATAGGCCCCCTGCCATGCTCTTTCTTGTCCTTTTCTGTTTTTTTAAGTGAACCACAACCCTGTCGAACAACTGTAGTTCGACAGGTACCTGTCGAACTGTGGTTGTTCGACAGGGTATCAAACTTGCAATTTTAGCTAATCAGCTACTACTTTTGCAATTTTCTATTAAAATAATATTATTTCTAAAAAAAATTCGAGAAAAGCGTACACTCCAAGTCCCATAAAAAACACTATTTTAATTATAAACCTGAACGTGTGCATCTAATTCGTAGATAGAATATAATTTTTTTACGACGGAACTCGGAAGGGATAGAGAGTATACCAGATGGCATGTTCAGAGTATCAACAGATTGGCTATTTTCAGCTTTCCAAATACTTATTTGGCCCGTCATTAAAAAATTGGAGAGCCAAATTTACCTTTTACTCCAACAGTCTCTCCATTCACATTCTCCAATTTAACATTGGGTCCCACATGTCGGTCTCTCATTCCTCCTCCTTCTTCCTCTCCTTTCTTCTCCCGTGCCTCTCCTATCCTGATGCGGGCGACGACGACAACCTCGGCAAACGGCAAAGCGACCTCAACGACGACCCGGG